CTTCGATGATAAAAAGAACTGATATAAATGTACTTAAACATTTTAAAAAAATTTCAAGTTTGTAACAACGTCGAATTTCCTTCTCGAAAATGCTTCAATGCATAAAATCGAATTTTACTCGTCGATTCGATTTACGAGATACGGTATTAGTCACGATAACGTATATTCGAGATCGAAGAATCGCGGAATATTTAGTGAAAAGTTCCACCATTTCTCAGCCAAGACATAATTCTCGAATATTTTCCAAGTGTCTCTTCAACTGAATAGAAAATCTGTAGTTACGTTTTCCCAGACGTTGAGTGATTCGACACAAAGTTGCTCCCATCGATTTTCCTGCCTTTGTCGCGGTTCCCTTTTCCCGAACACGCGTACATTTTATTTACCTGCAGGCTCTCTCCAGTTTGCTTTACATAATTGAAGGGGGGGTTCCTTGAGGAGCAGCGATAAATCTGTGTCCCTATGCCGAGGCGAGGAATCGTCTTTGAGGCGTCGCCGAGCCGTGAAATCAATTAAACGATCTGTTACGGATAAACTTTCTCTTCCTGCGACTTAATGGATATGTCGGGTGCTGGCTGATTGAATATTCACGATTTCTACTGGTGTCGAAATGGGATCTTTTCAGGGGGATTTGATCGTTAATCGTCGCTAGGGTTCGGTTAATATCATTCGCGAATAACTGTCAATGCAGACTTTATTTTCTAAGTTAACTTTTCAGGAGGTAAATGGATTCGTTTATTAAGTAAAAGGAGGGATACGTTAATCGTGGATTAACTACTAATTATAGTTGCAAAAATATTAAAAAGGTCAATTTAACTTAACTCTGTCCAAACTTCATAATTTTCATTTTGTTCATTTTTCCAAAATTGTAAAAATGTGAAAATGATACATTAAATCGAAGAGACTCGATTCATCTTATTTTATCAACTTTAAATTCCCCTGATCTTCAGATCAATCGATGAGATTTCAGTGGTTCGAGGCTTTGAAACAATTCGAACAAAGATAAGAATTCTAAATCATCAAAATGTTACGAAAATTCATCAGATTAACGCAGGACAAAAATCTGAAATTTCAAATATTAATTTTGATGTTACGAAGTGTGCAATTCCTCGATTAAATTGTCGATACGAAGGCAAATTTTTATGTGTTTTACTTAGACATGAAAATGATACGTTAAAAAAAAAAATAATCATTCTATTGTCAAGTTGCTATGACAAAACGTGATTCAAATTTAGCGAAAATTTTTGCGCAACCTTTGTGCACCGTAATATCGAAATATTGCGCGCAATTCAAATCATCATTCCGGAATGCACATTCACTCAACGACATTCACCTTCCAGTCCAGACTTAACGCCCTCCAATTTATCTCTGTTGAAAAACCAGAAAAATAGTCTCAGAGGCGAAAGGTTTCCCTCGCAAAATAAATTGAAAATTCCGGCGAACGAATATTTTGAAGACCTGCCAAAAGAATGTTTCTCTCGCAGAATGCTGCAGCTCGAAAACTGTCGAAGTAAATGTACATCTACGAAAGAATACAATTTTTCAATGTTCCTCGCGCTCCTCTTCCTAACCAAACAAATTTCCATAAAAATTCACTCTTCATATTTCCACCATTCAACTTTTCGATGAAACCCTAATAGTGAAAGAAAAAAAAAAAAGAAGCGTAAACACGGAATAAGTAAAAATTACCACAAGACTCCCTCTTTACATTATGCATTCCTTATCTACGCCAGCGGGGAACAATGGTCTCGTAAAACTCGAACTTACACCGCCATATTCCCCTTCGTTCAACCCCAAACCGCCAACTTCCCCTCATATTCTACCCTCAAAAACCATATTCCGCTTTACGCCACGCTATCCAACGAGAAAAAGGACAGGAAAAAAAGCTGCCGGAGATTTCGTCAAAATTAGATCGCGTCGCTAATCGAGGCAGGACATTAGCGTGACCGCCGATTGGCCTCGGTTAACGCCGGCAAAGGGGCTGTAAATCAGGGCCACCTGTTCGCGGGCACCTGCGCGCGCGCGCGCTCACGCTCGTTCTCAGCCGCCCCCTTTAAACCGTTTAGTTTAGTTTCAGCCGCGGTGTCCCGCGCCAATGGCCGTCCACGAACTTCGCCCACCTGTCCTGATAATGTCGGTTAATATCATGTAAATTGTAATTAATATTCATGGGGTTAATTCGCCGCCGCCTGCGCACACCGGCGCAAGCAAACCAACTTTTACCGACAATTTACGATCGCCGCAGAACATATTTCGGAGGGAGAGAACCGAACCAGCCACCATACCCTTGTGATCGTCGCCCAGATACAGCTACGTAGAGTACCTGGCGATCGCGCCACGCCGGTTCTCCCTTGCTTTGCAAAATAAATCGTCGACGGCGAGCGGTGGCGCGGCCTGCCGAGATTTATCGCGGAATTATGAAGAACGATCCAGCGACGCTGCTGCCCGGGATCCACTTTCGCAGGCGATAAATCGACCGGTGGTTTTTGATGGTTTCGCCGAACCACCGCCACGATAGGGTTCTGCAAACCCTTCCGCCGTGTTGCACCGAACTCACGTGCCACGCGGACGTTTCCTGTTTGTCGATCGACGCCTCGATATACCCGCGGAGAAAAATGCCCAGCTTTTGTACGCGTACGTACACTTGGGTGCTTTTGCCACCGTTTAGCGAATTTTCTCGCTTTCCTGCTTTCTAATTTATGTCGGAAGTGTTTGTCGGTTGTTTCGCCGACTTTCTGAGGAAAGGAATGTTCCTTTTCGGGAGATTCTGTTGTACTTAGACTTGTGTTACAGTATTGTTGTAATATTTGTAGCTGGATATTCGTCGTACTTCTTTCAATGGAGGTTTCATTATTTTTTAAGTTGTTTTGTGAAATGGAAAGATGGTTTAATATTAGGAAGGAATGATGAAAATGACGGAAGTAATGAAAGAATGACGAAAGGAATGGTGGAATGTGCAAAAATGGCGAAAAGAATGTTGGAATGTGCATGAATGGGGGGAAGAATGTCGGAATGTGCGAAAATGAGAAAGGGAATGTGCAAAAATGGAGAAAAGAATGATGGAATGAGCGAAAATGACTAAAGGAATGACGGAATGTGCGAAAATGACGAAAAGAACGACAGAATGCGCGAAAAGTAGAGAAACTAAAAGTTGAACACAAAAATAAAAAGCAACTAAATTAAAAATCCTTACTAATTAGCCTAAACAAAAATACATTTCGATAATAACAACGAGGACACATTAATACCAACTATGTAAATCACCAAAATTTCTTTTCTCCTGAATTAATTATCATACAATTCTCCAGTCGTTCAATTTAAATCTAAACTGATTATCAATTAAATCACCGACCCACTCTATCATTTACCTCTATTCGTACCTCATTACGAGTGTCTCGCACGACAAATTAGTCGCCGAATTACAATTCACTTAACCGCGGAGCCTAACGGTGTACATCAGAGCACCCCCGTGAAATTGCTTTCTTCGTGTCAACGCAAAGTAATTCGTGCAATTTGTTAACAAGAAGTTGCAATAACGTCCCATTACAGCCGGCTCGAAACATACAAATGGAGTTGTTCTCCGCTTCTTTTCCTGCTTCGAATACGATGTCGAAACGCGAATAAGACGCGGCGAACACGTATTTTCCCCTTTTATTACGTTATTCAACCGGGAACCTTCGAGGATCCTTTAGCGTTTCACTTGGACCGTACACGTACCACGACGAAAAGGAGAAAACTCTATCCGACAATGGAATACGATGTTTGATATAGCTCGAACTAAATGTACTACCGGCTAATTGAATTAAATAATAACAAAGGAACAACTTCAATTTAGAGCGCACGGGCTACGGGCCACGTTCACCGTTCTAAATTATCCCGTGTTTTTCGAGATCTTCGCTCGACACAACTCCCTTTGGAATACGCGGTAATTTTAAGGTCCGCTGAAATATTAAGGAAACGAAGACGAAGGCACTGTGTGAAAATTCAAGAATAATACCGCGTCTGTGAAGTTAATTCTATTATTTGATTACTTCCTCGTTGCTAATTCCAACGATAGTACTCTTTCGATAGAGAAAACTCGTTGATTATGACACGAACGAGAAATTCAGAAATTCAATTCGCGACTAATACGATGTTGATAAAGTTAACTCATTGTTATTAGATTACCGTTTTTCCTTCGATGTTTTCAAGCGGAGTACTAAAATTCGCGATTAATATTTCACGGTGCTCCTGTTAAATATCAGTTTCAGTTAGATTCTAAGATGATATAAAACTTCGTTTCGGAAATTTTCTGAATCTAAAATTAACTCGAACAATCTGGAGGAAATTTATTTCCACGATACTTCCTAATTGAATTATTTAATGCTCGATTTAACTGGATTCTGAAATTTTTATTTCTACTCTAATTCCTCTACTCTAGTCTATTAACACATAATGCAAGTAATTGCGATGAAAAGTTACCGTCGAGTAATGTATATTTGCTGAAGTAACATCGTCATAAACTTTATAGTCTACCAGGGAATACGGTTATAGTGGAGCAACTTATGTGTTATCATTATAAATTCACGAAAACGGCGAAATAATCTCTTTCGAACGATATGAGGGCACTTTAATCTACACGAAAGAAATATACGGTGACCGGTTCTTAAAAACTAATATAAAAAGAAAACAACTTGCATTCCTAATAAATCCCTAAATATTCCTCGAATGTAACTATGTAAATTCACGAAGAAAAACCCGGAATGTGAAGAGTATCATCAACATTCCAAAAAATTGAACGTGAAGAGTATCGTCAACATTCCCAAAAATTGAATGTGAAGAGTATCATCAACGTTACAAAAAAATGAATGTGAATAGTATCATCAACATTTAAAAAAAGGAATGTTAACAGTGAAGTTAATATTATAAAACAAGGAATGTGACGAGTATCATCAACATTCCAAAAAAGGAAGAGTATCATCAACATTAAGAAACAAGGAATGTGCGGGAAAGCTTCAACTCACCATGGATCACGTGGGTCAGGCAGTGTTCTATGAACAGAAATGAGGTCACTGATGTACTGATTGAACGCGTTGTTTAGCCAACCGTCGTCAACGAGTTTCTTAATTTCGGCAGTCATATTCGTTGGCAAAATCACGGGCCTTCCCATTTCGCCAGGCGCGTTCGAATCTTGCTCGCGAGGAGCAACGAGCACACCACCGCCTAAAAAACAAAAAAGGACACAAAAATATTATATAATAAATAATTCTCTGTTATTAATTTTTTTTTTATAAACTTCATCAGATATAGTGAAAACTACTTTCACGTTCAGTTAATTCACAAGTTAATAAAATTAAAAATGAAGACTAAGTTCATGAAATTCTGCGACTAATAAATGTACATTTTATATATTTTATACACTTTGCAGGCAAAATGGCATAAATTAATTTGACTTATAATTGAAAATGAACGAATGGAACGTGTTTTTTTGAGAAAATTTTACTTTCTTCAATGGTGAAAGGGAAAGCTTTGTCTTAAAGTCTTGAAACTAATGAAGGTTCACTTTCTGTTGCTCGTCTATGAAGGTGTAATACCTGTTCTAGCAGATTCGTGTTCTAAATGAGACTAATAACTCTGCCAGCAGAAATAATTCCGAAACCAGTCTGTAACTCATTAACAAGACAAACTGACTCGTCTATTTCAGACGGTGTTCCCAGTGTGAATTTTGTATCTTGCGAAACGTCAAGAATGTGCAGAAATGATTGCTATTCGACTGTCGCGAAATTCGTCATTTGTTCCCATCAACAATTAGAACATTATATTAAAATCATATCTCAAAGTGTCTATCAAAAAAGATTTATCCTTAATTTTGTACAACTATAAATAAATATTATATAATATTATTCTAATTATATTCATACCTGCTCTAGAAAAAAATTGCTAACTCAAATTATTTAAACAAATTTGTCTTCATTTTTCTACGTATTCAAAATACTGTTCTTGTCTCGCGATGAATCGAATTATTTCCAATTTCAAACGTCTGTAACTCAGACAATTTTTGCGAATTCTCGAAAGATTGAACAAATACAATAGAAGTGTCGATTTTTTCAATCCTCCAGAGGCAAGAATACTTCTTTAAAGAGTCGAAAAAGCTGGAAAGCAACCACTTACTCCATTTGTTCGTGTCCTGTTCAGCCATCGATTCCCTAACGAACTCATCCACGAAAGCCAATTTCGAGGAGCAGCGATACAACGGGCAAACGAACGAAATACAAACGAGGTGAAAGGATGGCCGATACAGAAACGGCAGTAGGAAACGGAAGACGGGGCGAATTGAATTTTCTCGAGAATATAGTATCCGCCCTTTTTCTAAGAGCTTTCCCGCATAAACTCCACTGTTATTTTCCAGTGCCATATTGAGCGCCTAGGCATAGGTAAAGTGGAGCGCGACTTCGACCAGTTTTCTTCACCGTCTTGCCCTCGCCTTCGAAATCATTTTAGCCCGGCCAGGAGAGCCGGGCCCCGGTGTGCGCGATGCGGCAATAAAGAGCACGACAAATTGCTTTAGCGCGGCGAACAGGCCGCTGCAAACTTCTACGCGGCGAAACTCCCCTCGTGCATCAACTCTCTCGCCCCTTTCGACTCTTTCGAAATTCTCCTCGCAACTGTTCTTTGTCAATGGCACTTTTCGGGCGAACGATTGTTGCTCATATCGAGGAATATTCGAAGGATTCGAAGATGTTGATGTGGAGATGGGAATGTGGATGAAGTTGATGTGAAGATGGAATGTTGTGGAGATGGGAATGTGAAGATGGAATGTTGTGGAGATGGAAATGTAAATGAAGTTGATGCAGAGATGGAATGCTGTGAAGATGGGAATGTGAATGAAGTTGATGTGAAGATGGAATGTTATAGAATGTGAATGTGAATGATGTTGATGTGAAGATGGAATGTTATGGAGATGGGAATGTGAATGAAGTAGATGTAGAGATGGAATGTTGTAAAGATGGGAATGTGAATGCAGTTGATGTGAAGATAGGAATGTGAACTAAGTTGAATTTTGAATAACTTGTGGAATAACACTTGTAATTTCACTCGAATGATTATGCAGAATAATATCGAAGCCTGAAAGTACTTGAAATGGACTGTCGAGAAAGTAAACTAATTTTCGTCGAACTTATGTAATAATCAATAGAAATAATTCATTGTTATTCTTCACATTTTTGTTAAAAAAACTAATGTACTCCTTACTTCTCCTTCACAATTGACTCTAATTACAAAAGTTCTATGCCTGAAAATTTATAAAACGAGATAATAAACGTATCAGCTGTTAGAGCCAAAGTACTACCTTATAAAACTTACTTTCAACTATGAATTAAAATTGCAAGTTAAATTATTAAGACTGAACTCATGGACCTACAATTCAACCTACCCAATTTCATAAAATTCACCTGCAATATACCCCAGAAACATAAACCCCACGAAGTAATGCACTATTTCAAATTCCCATTAAAAACCAAAGTACCTTACAAAAACGACTCCCAACTACGAACTAAAATTACACGGTAAGTTATTAAGACCGAACTCATCGACCTACAACTCAACCTACCCAATTTCATAAAATTCTGCTGCAATATACCTCACCCCCCCAAAAAGGTGCAAAAATAGTGCAGAAAAACCTCACAAAGTAATTCAGTATTTTAAATTCCCATTAAATCCCTGCCTCGTTAAAATCCACTTTGACATCAAAACCTCATCCCTTTCACCCTCCCAACCTACACATCTCCGATTCCACTCAATCTCAGAGTAAAATCCCCACCCATTCCAGCATCCTGTCCCCGGATAAACAAGCGATTAATTACCTTGCTCGGGTCCGCCCTGAGCGACCTTTGGCTTCGGCTGCGCGTTAAGCGGCGTCTCTTTTCTGAGAGGTGCGGCTGCAGGCACGAATCCGTTGGCCATTTGGGGCGCCGCAACGCCGGACGGCGCCAGACCCTGCACAGCTACGTTCGCACGGTCTTCCGTGTACAAGAGGAAGCACACGGTGGCCCAGACCGCCGTTGCTAAAATGGCCACCTTCAGCCACAGGGATCTCCTCCTGGGGAAACCCATCCTTGACTCACAGCCCTGGACTTTGCCTCTTTGGAATCCACAGCTCTTCGTCACCTGCTATCCCTTCGTTGTTCGAGCACGGTTCGATTAGAGATCGTTGTTCAGCCGGCTCGAGAGGTCGCGTTACCTCAACAACATCCTATCGTGTCTTTCTCTCCTCTGCTCCCCTTTGAAATTTCGCGTGATCGAAAGAGGACGGGGAACACAGGCGGCGGTCTTTTTGATCACGTCCGATCCGGACACCGTGCAAAGTTATCTGACAGGTATGGTTAGGATAGATCGTGACGAAGAGTCTCGTCGATCCAGCTTGATCGACACCTGATACACCTTGCTAGCGACAGGATCATCGTTGGACCATCGTTTCTTCCCTCTGATATGCTTCGTTATGTTGCTTCGACGACGTTGTCAGAAATTGTTGCTGGTTGAAGTGAGATGATATGAGTTGATATGTATGCTTTTCGATTTGGCTTCTTTGGATATCACCGCATTGTTCTATCTGAAAAATAGAGAAACAGATTCGTCAGTGAGTGAAAGAAGAGTTTGGAAGATTAGATTTGGAATTTTTACGAGGAATATAATTTAGAGAAACTCGAGCATTTTTTTAGAATAAATCTTTGGAAACTGGTGAGTTATTTGGAGTATCTTTCTGGATGAAATTACAACTTGTCGAATTGTTGTAATCCGAAGAAATTACAGGAATATCGTTTACTTGTGCACGTATTTCGATGTGAATTTTATACAACCACTTCTTGCGTGATATTCATATTAGCAGGGTAAAATAATTATCCTTGCGTATCGTAAAATTTCGGCCCAGAAATCGGTGAAAATCTCTACATTACGACTGATTATAATTAGTGATGAAATTACAGTCCAAGCTTCAATAATTAATTTCTCTTCGTAATAGGAAGTTATATTAAACGTGTTAATTAATATTAAAGTAAACGCAAATTTAAAATGAATTATCAGACACGATCAACAAGTAACGTTTCTACACTTGACGCAAAGTGTTGTTGTTCTTCTTGTATAAATTTCAATAAATCTGACAATTTTTATATTTATCTGCGAGCAGTGCGAAGTCAAACGTTTCAAAAATTCAACGAAGACAATTGTAACGAAAGAAGAAGCATAGCTGATGAATCAAATGTTCGATCCAAAAAAATGAACGCTATTCGGTGGAATTAATATTTGATTCTGGTTAGCTTCCTGCTTTACTGGTTGTTTAGTAATCGATTCCCTCGACAATTATCGTGGCCTTTCGTTACCCTACCTTCACTGTAACGTGGGAAACTTTAAGGAGATGTTCAATCACGCAATTGTTCGCATTCTCTTGGCGTGTGGAAAGTGCAACTGACAATGGATGCGTCTTGACTAAATCAGGGAAAGTTAATGAGACAATCGCTGTAGATTTGTATCTCCTTAAAAAATCAGATCTCTTAATACGAGTTTCTGTTTATAATTCGGTATAAATATAATGGTTTCCTGATAAAAAAAAACTTCACTTTGTAGGTTAATATTAAAAGGTACGCTAGAAATCGTTAAAAGAAAAATTATTTCCAACTTTTCAACGTAAATTCTGCTAAAGGGGCAATTATACAGTGCCTCATGAGCTCATAAGTATTTAAGTTGTAAGAAAAATTTTTTGATGGAAGAAATGGCCAAAGATGAAAGAAAACTTTACGTTTGATTTAAAATTTCAAAAGTCCAAGGTAATTCAAAGGCCATATTATTATTTATGTTTAAATGCACATAAGAAACCATAGGTAACTTTGAAAAAAAAAAGAAAATAGAAAAAATGGAATTTATAAACAAATTTTTCATCCATTTTATTCGCCCTAAAGAAATTAAGTAAATTCAATTCCACAGATTTCCCTTTGCCTTATCGCAATGAGTCAAATTGATGGAGCAAATTTTGGTGAAAGATTAATTTTCATTACAAATTTGTTTCTAATTTACAAAACTAAGAATTATCAAATTGCAAAGGATGTACAACATAATACATTACCTTTACTTCCTCGCCCAGTACTAAAATAATAAGCAGCTCAAAAAACTCATAACTCATTGAGTCAACAGAGTGAATTTCAATTCTGATCTAAATTCCAACGAATCTTTCGACTTCGATCAGCGAGTAATTCGACAATGATGCGTTGTTAGGAGGAAGAAGTTTCTCGCGTTCGGCTAGATCGATGGAAGCATGCACGAAACAGAGTTAAGCACTGGAACACGATAAGAAGTACAAACTCGATTAATCAGTCGTCTCACGTCAGAACTTTTATTAATTCGAGCTAAAATCCGGCCGATGAAGAAACTCGCTTTCCCTTGAACTTCCGTAGGTTAATTAACGGGAAAAATCGGGGATCTGTTCTTTCGGCGAAATATTTCAGGGGGAGGAGAAAAAGAAAGAAGTAAAAAGGACGACAGGTAGAGTATCGAAGGAAATTTAGGTGGGTGAAACCGAGACGCCAGGAAACATTTACTAAAGACATATTTGCGGTGCAGTGGAGCAACGTGCAACGAAGATACACCCATAAATTAACTTAGGCGAAGTAATTGAGTAATACATCACGGCCGGGATTTCATTAACCAAAGTAAATCATCCAAGGAAATTTCGTTTGCGGTGAAACTTTTGATTATGCCCGGGAAACAAGCGTTTGAAAGTATACCAATCCAGCCGAGTAACAAACTTAATTAATCAACCACAAGCAAAGGTTTGCCGAAACGTTTTAAATTACTTATTGAAGAAGAAATGACGAAGTTTACGATATCGCTTTAAGAACGTTCTGACACTGTATTTATGTGGTATATTTGCTCCAAGTAGTTTCTTCCAAAGCAAAAATTTCTTTTACTTGAAAACATATTTACGTCATTTTCTATTTCTTCGATATTACAGTTTTTAAGAAGTTTTGTGGAAAGTGAAAATTTCTTCTGCTTGAAAATATATTTGCATTAATTTTTACTTCTTCAATATTCTATTACTGCAGCTTGTACTAAAAACTTTTCGTTCAACGATTTATGATTTAATGAATCATTCTGGATCGATAAAGATTTCTTTTGCTTGAAAATTGTTCTCTTTTTGCTTTTTCGATATTGAACGATTACAATTAATGTCTGTGCTAAGAAATTATAATTGAACGATTTATAATTTGATGAATCATTGCTGAATCATTTTAGATAGATAAAGATTTGTTTTATTTAAAAATATTTAGTTTTATTCTTCTTCAGTATTAAATGATTGCAGTTAATGCCTGTGCTGAAAGGATTTAATTCAACCATGTACGATTTGATGAATGATTGCTGAATCATTCCGGTTCGATGGTTCATTGCTTCATCACAATGCAGCCCAAGCAAGCATTCGTTGTATAATGGTTTTCTAATCCAATCGATGTTCCGCTTTTCCCTGATTTCATTTTCCGACATTCAATCACTTTCCATTTCGATGACAAATTAACAGTCAATTATTCAATCGTACAATCCAGTTTCTCAATGTTCAATCACTCACCAGCTAAATCATTCATTACCCTATTTCACCTATTCCACGTTCCATCACTTTCTAGTTGAATCATTCATCAATTAGGGACTCTTTAAATCAACGGTTATCTATTCAATCACACTCCAAATCAATTGTTTAACATTTAATCATCCTCCTATTCAATCATTCAACGTTTCTATTGTTCTACAAATCAGCAGAAACATTATCGTCTAATTTTCGTGTAATTTCCATTACAATCTCCTAGACGACTGTCGAAAAATTATTTCCTCGAAACGTTCGTTGATTCTGATTAATTTTCGAGTCTTTTTTGACCCACTGACTTCTTAATTTTTTAGTACCTTTCGCTGTTATCAGGTTTATGCTCCCTTAACATTGTATTAAAAGTTTATCGTCTAAGTTCATACGGCGCGCTGGTAAAAACAAAATTGTTATATATAAGGTCTTTCGGTCAAAAAAGACCCGATATTATAGTGGATAGTCGAACAAAATAACGCACTGGAGTTTTAAAAAAAAGGAAGAAATTCCCTTCACGGTCTCTTCGATAAAGAAAAAAATATTTGACACGATTCCTTCAAAAAAACCAAAACTCAAATAAAGTAAAAATTCTCTTCATGATCCGTTAAAAAGAAAAAGAAAAAATTCTCTTCACGTGAATTTAAAAATTTTTAAAGCTTGGAAGGAGAGTGAATTTAAGGTCCCAAAGAAAGAAATTGACACGACCCTTTCAAAAAACAGAGAAATCTCCGAGAAAAGAAGAAATTCTCTTCAGGATCTCTTAGAGAAAAAGAGAAAGAAAAATTTGAAGACAGGTTAACAGTTGTTATCGCGAGTTCAAAGCGGCGAGACCACGCATCGAGTGTTTCGCTATTTAAACGGCAGGAGAGCACAGCAGGTTCGGCTGTGCTGCAGTGCCCCGAAGACAGGAATAATGTAAGCGGGCAACGTGCTAATGGTGCCGCGACTGGCGAAACATTACGCGAATTGCGAAAAAAGGATAAGAAGAATGAGCGGGCCGCAATCTTCGTTCGTAATCCGACATTAGAATGCCCACGTTCGGCATTGGAAAACAAAAGGTACGAGCTGCACGCGTATTCACCGCGCGAGAGCATCGTATACCGTTGCAAACGCGAGATTACCTTGCGCCCGATGCAACCTGCTGCATTCCAAAAATTTCCACTACCTCTTTCCTCCCCGGTTTTAACCAAGATAATCTTCGCCAAGTGGTTTTTCCAATTTTTCAAAAAACGATTCGTGAAATTACGCAATTACTTGATACCGCGATACTTTTTCGTTTCTGATCATTTGGAAATTACGATGATTTTAATTGTGATTGTGGAAAATAAATTTATAAATTTGGACGTATATTTCGATAAATTTATTGGGTATTTTATATTAGAATTTTTGTGCAAAATAATGGTAGATATAGGAGAGCTAAATGTAAGGTCATTGAAATGCAATTTTGTTTAATTTAATTCATTGTGTGATTTCATTGAATGGCGATACCAATGTGCACGGTTATCGATTAACTTTTGTTATAATATTATTAATAATATTATACAAAGACTACACGAAATTCGCTAAATTTTGCGTACTATGATTTGTAGTTTTATATCATTTCAGGTGTACAGTTTCAATTGCATCGATGATTCTTTCAAACTAATGTTCCGAAATTTCGTTATTTTTCCAACTACATTTCAATTTCCGTAATTCCTCATCACTGTTACGAGTTTGCTAATCCTTCAGATATTCGCTAATAATCCTTTAGACATTGAAACATTTTATTCTGGTCATTCGAATTTTATTTAGAATCATAGACAATCACTTGAAACATAGAAAAATAAATACTTTAAAAGAAGGCAGAAAGAGAGAAACGAGCAATCATCTAACAAACGGTCAATTTAAGGCTTCAGTAACGCAATCAGTGAAGTCGTTCGTAGTATTAATCATCTTCTTCAACACTTAAACCTTTCTAACTGTATCAATTCTTTTCCAATTTACACTAATCTCAA